TATACATATAAATTACTGAGTTTTATATATTAATTTTTTATCTTGCTACTTGCTGAAAATGTCAGTTCTAAGAGTTTTCTGATGGAGTCAGATGGATCTGTAACTATTTCCTCCAAACTGAAATATTCCATCCTTAAGACTCAGGAAGTTTGAAAGGGAGGCTCATGAAGACTCAGGAAATGAAAAACTCACAAATCTCAAGAAGTCCCTGAAACTTATCAGATCCCCAAGGTTATGTAAACAGTAAGGTCTACTAAGAAGACTGACCTGTCAAGCTTCTGCAAGTCTTGCAGAGAGATCCATGACCGTGTGTGTGTGTGCGTGTGTGTGGTGTCACCCATGCTGGGGTGGGCTCATTAAATCAGCTCCTTTGAGTCTTGTAAGCAACTCCTCACCCATATTCTAGTAAGTGACCTGATAATCTCATTGGTTCACCAGGTTAGACTTTAGTTGTATTGTTACTTTGATCTGTCATGAGTAAATGTTTGTTCACAACTCCCCAGGAGGAGTGTCACACAACAGTTATATACAGGACTATATCATCTGAAAAAAGGGATAATTGGGCTTTTTCCTTTCCTTTTTAATAACCCCTTTATTTCCTTCTTTTATCTTACTGCTCTAGCTAAGACTTCAAGAATTACATTGAATAAGAATGCTAAAGAGACATAGTAGTAAACTTCCTTCTAAGTTCTTATCTTTGTACCCATAGATTCATGTATCTCTCAACTCTTATCAGAGAAGCTCCTTTCTACTGCAGCGGGTGATTAATATAGAGACCCACAAGTGGTCAGCATGCAGAGAATAAGAGACTGTGGAGTACACAGGTCTAAATGGGGCAGCTGCTTCCATAGCTCCGGGATCATGAAAGAAGAGGGTACCAGAATAATTTAAGAGAAAGAGGTAGTAGACATCTGTAGCAAAATGATATTTTCCAGACATGACACTGCTGTTGTAAACAAAGGATCACAGTAGATCTGCGTGTACAAGACCATCTAGTCAGTCAAAATCTCAGCATAGATAGGGGAGCAGCTCACAGAGTTCTCCCACTGGCTGAGGAGCTATTGGTAATTGATGGTTGCTAGAGGAGAGTCAGTTTTCTTCAGGGATCCAGCCCCTCATTACCCATGACCTAGCAGACTGTCCTACACCTATGCACACTAATTGGACTTAGTGGGTTTGAAAAATAGCACATAAAGTTGGTAAGGAAAGTGGTGGGGTGGGTAGGGGAGAAATTAGAGGGGAAGCTTTAGCATTTATTATTTTGGATGTGTTCCTTCAATTTTTAGTGTTTTTCAGGATTTTTGTCACGAAGGGATGTTGTATTTTTGTCACGTTTTTTTATGCAGCTGTTGTGATGATTATATGATTTCTGTCCTTTAGTTCACTTATGTACTATGTATGGGGAACCATCCCTACAGCTCTAGAATAAAGCCAATTTGACCATGGTGAATGATCTTTTTGATGTGCTCTTGAATTCAGTTTGTGGATATTTTCTTGAGAACTATTGTATCTATGTTCATCAGGAAAATGGTCTAATTTTTTTTGTTTTTTAATCCGATTTTGATATCAGGATAATGCTGGTTTTATAAAAAGAGTTTAGTAGAGTTTCTTCCTTTCCTATTTTATGGAATAGTTTGAGAAACATTAATGTTAGTTCTTCTTTGAGGAGCTGGTAAAATTCACCAGTAATTCTATCTGGACCTGTACATTTTTTAATGGGGTATTTTTTAGATGAAAGCTTCAGTCTCACTGCCTGCTATAGACATATTTAAATTATTCACTTCATCTTGGTTTAATTTTGGTAAGTCATGTTTATCTAGAAATTCATCCTTATATTTTCCAACTGGGTAGAATGTAACTTTTTAAAGGTATGTCCTAAAGATTTTCTGAATTTCATTGGTGTCTACCATAATGGCTCCCTTTTCACCTCTAATTTTAAGTATTTTTTCTTTTTATTAGTTTAGTTAAATCTTGTTTAGTTTTCAAGAAAACTCTTTATATTATTTTTTCTTTTGTTTTGTTTTTCATTTCCATTTCACTAATTTCTTCTGTAATCTGAATCATTTCTTTTTAAAACTTTATTGAAAATTTGCAATTTTCATGCAGTATAATTTGAGGGTAGTTAGATCCCTTTGCCCAGAATTATTTCTTTTTATTTACTGTTGGGCTTTGGCCTGTTTTTGTTTATCCAAGGCCATGAGCTGTATCATTAAGCTATTTAACTGAGGTCTTCATGAATTTGTAAGGTAGGCACATAGAGCTATAAACTTCAATTTTAGGAGTACTTTCCATATGCACCACAGGCTTGGGTTATGTTGTGTATTAACTTCCATTTGATCTAAAAACTTTATGCTTTCCTTCTCACTTTCTTCAATGACTCGGTCATGAGTCAGTGGTGTGGTGTTTAGTCTCCAAAGCCTGTGTGCCCTACAGTCTCTCTCGGTGTCGCTCCATTGTGATCAGGTAGAACACAAGGAATGATTTCCATTTTCCTACTTTTTAAAGATTTGCTATGTGTCTATATCAGTTACTTTTCTGTTGCTGTGATAGAACACCATGAACAAGGAAACTTGTAGAAAGAACAGTTTATTGGGCTAAGGGTTCCAGAGGGGTGAGTCTACCATGGCAGGGAGGCATAGCGGCAGAAGGCCGTCAGAGCAGAAAGCTGAGAGCTCACACCTTCAAGCATGCGTAAGAAACAGAGAGAAACTGGAAACTGGACAAGACTTAAGAACTCTCAAAGCTCACCTCCAGTGATGCGCTTCCTCCAGCATGGCCACACTTCCTAAAGCTTCCACGACCCTCCCCAAATAGCACCACCAAATGGGGATCAAGTGTTCAAATACTTGGAGCCTATGGTGCACTCACATTCAAACAACCACGATGCCCTGATATAGCATCTGTGTTAGAGGAAGTTCCATGGGCTGCTGAGACGAGTGCGTTTGGATGGAACGTTCTCTATATTTCTACAAATCTATTTGATCTATGATGTCATCTAATTCAGATGTTCCTCTAATTTTTCCCTCTGATGAGCTGTCTATTGGTGAGACTGAGTTATTGAAATCACCCACTACTATGGTGCTAGACTTACTCTGAGACTTTCCATTCTGTAGTATTCGTCTTATGAAACTGGGTGCAATCGTATTTGGGTGTATATGTTTTCAGTAGTGATGTTCTCTTGATGGATCATTTCCTTAATGAATATGAAGTGACATTATCTTTTTTGACTGGTTTTGGTTTGAAAACTATTTGTCAAATATTAGATCAGCACCATCTGCTTGTTTTCTAGCTCCATTTTAATGAAAGAGCTTTTTTGACCTTTTTATCCTAAGTCAGTGTCTGTCTTTTACGTTGAAGTATATTTCTTGGAGGCAGCAGATAAAAGCAGATTAAAGGTCCTACCTTTTAATCGTTTCTGCTGGTTTCTGTATTCTATTGGGAAATTGAAACCATTTATATTTTGAGTTATTATTGAGAGGTGTGTACTCATTCCTATCTTTTTCGTTGATTTTGTGGTTTGGTATCCTAGTTCTCTCATGCTTAACTATTTTTCAAACATGATTTCTTTTCTTTCCAGTGGCCTCATAAACGTGTTTGTTCTCTCCAGTCAAAAAGATTTCCTAAAGTATTTTCTGTAGAGCTGGATTAGCGATCATGAATTCCTTTGGCCTATAGGTGGAAGTGTCTGGTACTTTCTTAATCCTCACTTGCATGTTGAGTATACTACTATGGTTTGTTATTTCCTGTGGTCTGTGGATAGGGTTATCTTCCTCTTCTGGATGTAGGATTCCTTTGAGTATCTCCTATAGTGCTGACTTATTGATCATTAATTCTTTTAGCTTGTGTTTATCATGTAAAGATTTTCTTTCTCCTTCAACTATGAAATATAGCTTTGCTATATATAGTAATTTGGGTTGCAATTATAGTGTTTAGTACTTGAATTGTATTATCCCACGCTCTCCCTGCTTTAAAACTTTTCTGTTGAGGAACCTGCTATTATTCTAGCAGTGCTGCCTTATCTGTGACCGGTGCTTCCTTCTTGCTGCTTTCTATGCGTTTTCTTTGCTCTGCACATTTGGTGACCTGACAATGCTGTGATAAGGGAGATCTTTCCTGGTCTCGTCTGTTTGCCATTCTAAATACCTCCTATACCTGGGTGGCCCTGTGTTTCCCTAGATTTGGAAGCATGTCCTCTTCACTTAAATTGAATGTTTTCTATGCTTTTAGCTTGAAATCCTTACTTTTCTATGACCATGATTTGTATCTTTGCTGTTTGAATGTTGTCTCATGCAACTCACAGGTTCTACATATTTTCTTACTATTTTATCCTTGTCTTTATTTGAATATTCCAATCATTTACCTTGTCTTCAAACTTTGACATTCTGTCTTTCACTTGATTCATTCCATTGACAATTGCAGGACATAAAATACCTTCAACAGTTTTCAAAGTTGATTGATATTTTGATTTTAATCATCAATGCTGAGACTGCCTCTTCATATAAACATGTAGTAGAAAATGGCACAAATACGTTTAGGGCTATTGCTAAAATTATTGGAAATTCCATCCTAATCCCAAGATAAATACATTTAGAAATTTTTATGACATTCAAATAAATGACACATACAGCCATTTAAAAAACCAAACATTCTAACAAAATGCTCTCCAAAGTTACACTAATTTGATACCTTCTTATGAATGATGGTAGGAAATGTTTTCCATATTTAAACCGTATGTTTCTATAAGAGCAGCAAACTGTACATATAGTAAAAACTGCAATTCCTAATAGACAAATCTCAAATCTGAACTGAAGTGTTTTGGGCAATATTCGTTGGCGTTATGTAGTGTGATGGCATGTGCCGTGCCAAATGTTCATGTATTTTCAGAACCAAGACTGCAGTGAAGTCACCTAGCACAACATAGGCGAGCATGCATTGGCGTTATGTAGTGTGATGGCATGTGCCGTGCCAAATGTTCATGTTGTATGTTCAGAACCAAGACTGCAGTGAAGTCACCTAGCACAACATAGGCGAGCATGCCAAAGAGCACCTCAGATCCATCATACATAGTGTTTTGAATTGATTGTTGTTTGTTGTGCATTCAGAAACCTTTTACTGTTGGCAAAATTTACAAAGTACCATATGAGATTGTGTGCACAGTTTAAGAGCCTGGGATTGAAGAGCTATCTTAGCCACTACCTTCTGCAACAGCTGGGAATTTTTCCTCTAGCCATTTATGCTGAGTGTTCCATAGCACTTATCGTTGTGCAGTACAATTCTGACTTTAGGTATCACATTCACTATTCGTGAGTTTCTTGAGGGATTGAACATGAATCTGCACTCAAGTATCACAAGACTATTTTTTGACATGGAGTTGATTCTTGCTTGGTTATTAAATGGAAGAAGAAAAGACTAATAGAGGATAATTGAAAGAATACTGTGAAGAAGGCAAGGAGGAAGGTGAAAAGAGAGAGATAAAGAATATGGAAAATGGACATATGCTCAGCCCTGTGCACATTCTGCAAGTAGTCCTCCCCTCTTCCCATACCTTAATGCAGCCTTCTGAGGTCCTGCACCAAGTCCCCTGAGAATACAAAAGGTAATCCTTCTTTTACTCTCATTCTGGGGTCACATCATCGTCTTTGGTCCTGTTCCAAATGACCTGATCAGCCCACAAGTAACCTCCCTACTTCCTCCATCTATGACCCAATGCCATTAACTGAGGACCTGGCAAGAACGACTCATGCATTCTGAGGTAGCTCTCCACTCCCCCTTCTCTCTGGCACTCTAACATTGTCAATGGAAGATCTGTGCTGAGCACCTGTGCACCCCACTGGTAGCTCTCACTTCCACTTCCCTTTTACACTCCAACCTCAACTTGTGAGGAACCACAGAGAGAACATGCTCGCTCTACACATGCTTGTACATGAGGTCAGAATCTTTACCTTTCCCTAGACGAACTAGGACCACCTCTGATATCCCAGTGACATCAGCACCGTGTGTAGACTCAGACTGAACTTCAAGCATCACCCAGCTTATCCAAAACCTGTCAAGCCAGGATAACATCAAATAGAGACCCAAACGTCCACTCAAAGGGAGGCAGGCATCCATACCAAAGGACACAACCAATGGCCTAACTCTAGATGCCTAAGTCCTATTGAAATATAAACAACATAAAAACCAAGACAATACATCTCCTCCAAGAATTAGTACTCCTGGGGCTGGTGAGATGGCTCAGTGGGTAAAGGCATGTGCTTCCAAGCCTGATGATCAGAGTTCAGTCCTTGGGACCCACATATGGATGAAGAGAACTGAATCCCACAGATTGCCCTTTAACCCCAACAGGCACTATGTTGGACTGTTAGATTTTCCATGACTTTTATCATGAAGGACATTGGATTTTGTCAAAACCCTTTTCTGCATCTAATGAGATCAATCTTGTGGTCCTCCGGACTAGGCTGCAGCCAAAATAAAACTTGTTTCCTGAACATTCCAAGTGTCTTGCCCCATCCTTCCTGCCAGGACTGTCCAAAGAAAGAGGCTTTTGTTTGGCACTGATGCTCTATCCTGTAATCTTGGAAGAAACATAGATAGGGTCTGTCCACTAAGGCCCAGAACTGGACTCGGGGTCTTCAGCCAGAAGTTGAACATGTAGTTGGAATCAGAAGTTGAGTTTTTCTTGAGTCTAGTTGGTATTGATTGCTTTGTAGTAAAGCATTCTGTGATAGCAGCTAATTGGTGTAGATGAGGTTTGGTTCACAAATATTTTAAAGTATGTTTTGAATAGTTTTGTACATTGTGGGTAAGAGATGATGGAAAAGATGGAACTGCACAGCTCTATAGCTTTGAACAAAGAGCTCTATTGTTATAATCCCAGTCTACCATGATCACCTTAGACCTTACCTATCTAGAGTCATTTCTGTCAGATGATAAGAGAGCTAAAGAATGGCATTTCCTACCTCTCTGGCCAGGCATCCCAAGGATACCTGGGGCACCCCGAGGTCCTGGAATCCCTGGAGCTCCTTGAATTTCACAAACTCCTGGATAGTCTTGATCTTCAGAGTACAATGCAGCCACTAGCACAGGCAGGACCAGAATCCAGATACCTGTGTCAGAGAAGCAAGAGGCATGGGCCTTTAATCATTTGTCACCTGAGTCTATGGCTTACACCTCCTTTGTGGAGACAGAGGTTCCCCAAGTTGCCAAGTAATCTATGACATGATATCTAAGCCCAATGTCATAACTAGTTCAGTGTCCAGCAGCAGGCTGTGGTCAAACCTCCAATGACCTTCTCACAGAAAGACTTTCTTGTTTTAAGGGCCATTGTAAGAAGGCCTATTATGTATTAACTTTGAACATTAAAAACTAAACATTGTAAAAGATGTTATTCTAATATGAGAATCAGGGGCTGGAGAATTGGCTCAGTGGTTAAGAGCACTCGTTGCTTTTGCAGAGGACTTGGGTTCAATACTTGGCACCCACATGGTGGCTAACAACTGTCCGTAACTCCAGTTCCAGGGGATCTGATGCCCTCTTCTGACCTCCACAGGCATTGCATGACACAGGAGTATTTACATGCGTGCAGACAATACACTCATATACATAAAATAAAAATCATAAATAAAAAATTTAATGTGAGAATCATAAACATTTCCTCACATTGCCTGAAACCCCCTCTCTCTTTTCCTCTCTCTGTAATTTGTCAATGTTCTCTCCAAATACATCCCTTCTGGAATTTTCTGAAAAACTAAGAACAAATGAGAGAGGCAAGCAATCCAAAATAGTTAAATGTCTACAATTTTACTTTTTACAAGGAAATTTTTGTGATCGTTATTTAGAACATTCTTAGTTTTCCTCACATGCAGAGTTAAAATTGTCACAATATCAAACACAATCTACAGATTCAATGCAATTTTTATCAAAATTCCGACAACATTCTTCATGGAAATAGAAAAACAATTGTGAAATTCATATGCACAGGGAATTTAGAGAATTTGCTCAAAAATATTTAGCTGTCATTGTTACTATTTCACCTTTAACCCCCAATGACTTGAGGTTATTCATTAGTGGATTCTACCATTCTACCTGTTCATCTCTCAATTTTCTCTCTCTCCCTCCCTGCCTCTCTCCTTCCTTCCCTCCTGTCCTCTATCTGCAATAACCAACACAAAAATGATTTGTATTTCTTTTTCTAGTGTTAAAAAACATTCCACAAGTTCTAGGAACAACATAAGATAAAAAAGTAACACTTCCTTAGCAAAATTATCACTTGCATACTGATGGAAAGGTTCATTTGAAATTTTTGTATTAAATTGAGAGCTGACCTGTAACTCCCATAATGAAAGCTTTTTCCTCCTTTGTTCCCTGTCAGTGTTCAAAAGGAAGATAGTGCAACCGCTGAGCTTTACAAAGATCTCTCTTGCTTTTCTAGTTTCAACATTTTAAGCCTGATTTATTGATTTCTTTAAATTTTTGGCTTACTAGCTCTCCTAAGATCAATATCTTCGCTAATTTTTAACCAAAAATGAATCAGATGAGATAGATACTCTAAATGGAACATTTTCTCCACCTGTTCTGGCCATGAACCCTACAACCACAAGGACCCGCCACCATCCTAAAGTGTGTGAATACTCTCAGGAACATTCAACTTCTTTGTGTTTCCAGAACCCTGCTGCAAGTCAGTTCCACAGCATCTCCAAATTTCAACTCACTGCAGTTCCTTGACAGTGATCAAAAGGAAAAACTAATACCCTTATACACATTGTTTATGCATACTCCTAACGTACTCTGTACTAAAAAGTGATGTTTTTTCCTCTGAGGCTTATTTTTCATTAATTAAAAATAATTTAGCAAGTGCTTTTCATGGGGCTAGAGAGATGACTCAGCAGTTAAAAACACTTGCTGTTCTTCTAGAGGACCTGGGCTTAGTTCCCAGCACCCACATGGCGGCTAACAACCACCCGTAACTCCAGTTCCAGGGGATGTGATGCTCTCATCTGACTTCTGCAGGCATTGCACAACACTGGTGCATTTACATACATGCACACAAAACACTCATACACATAAAATAAAAATAATAAATAAAATATTTTTTAAATGCTTTTCATGCCGATCATTGAGGATGTTTGGGAGGGTACACACTTAAATTTTGGCCAAAGATGTCATATTCCTCTCACTTTAATTACCAAAACTCTAGTAAAAGGCTCATAATTTTTCAAAACTGGAAGTTAAGTATTTCTGTACCGTGTGGACTGAGAAGTGCCCCAAAGTCACCCTCCATGAATTTCATGTAAGACTTTCCCACCTGCCTTGGTGGCCTCAGCAGGTGCTTCCCAGCTTCACGTCTAAGGACCGTAAACACGAGGCAAAGCTTGTGGTGGTTCACTTTTCCCACCTTGTTTTGCATATGCTGTCAATGAGAAGATCCTGGTACTCAAAATAATTAATAAATGACTATAGTCCCATACTAGAAGGACTGGGCTGTGTTATAATAAATTACCGAAATCATGTCACAGTGTTTGGGAACCACATTAAACTTACATAGAATTCATGGGACTGGAATCCCCCTGCTCACTTGTTCTCCTTCACATCCCACTTAAGCCAGATACATTTCACTTCCACAAGCAACTGCATGATGATCCATCTCCAGGAGCCTGGAGAAGTGACTCAGTGATTAAGAGCACTGGCCACTCTCGCAGAGGACCTGGGTTTGAGTCCCAGCACCCACATGGTGGCTAACAACTGGCCACAACTCCAGTTCCAGGAGAATCTGACACCCTCTTCTGACCTCTGAAGGCACTGCATGACACAGGTGCACTTAGATACATGCAGGCAATACACTCATACACATAAACAATAGAACATTTTATAAAAGAACTGATTAGTAATTGACTTCATCAGGTGAAAATGGACAGTAAGTGGCCATGGATGCAAGGAACAGCCCTTCTAAAGGAGTACTGACTTGCAAAGTAATTCAAACTGCTTCTCATTTTTCACTAACTGGGAATACTTTATCACAGCTTCATGCGATTGGATCATCCAATTACGCTATATAATCCATCAGACATTTGAAGATTTAGGAGAAGAATGAAGTGTCACACTCACTAAGAGATGGATCAAGTAGCCAGGAAACTGAGCTGCACACTACATAATTAGCACAAGCATTTCAAGTTTACCAGAAACAAGGAATGAAATAAGACTAGAGCCCGGTGTCAAAATAAGTCTCATGTGATAGTGTCGATCAGAACCAAGACACTGATTGAAACCATTTTCTATACAAGATATTATACCAGACACTTGGAAGGGGGTATCAAGATACATGTGGTGCAGTTCCCGCCCTTCAGGGCCTCATAGTCCAGGAATAATAATGCAAATAGCAACCTAATATAGGAAAGGATTTGAAGCTCATCCTTTTTTCCTGCTGACCCCCTAGTTCTGCTATTTATTTGCCATATTCTGTTCTCTTCTTTTCCTTGTGAAGCTAACCAAGGATGCTATCATTCTGTCCCTCATATCTTCTGTCTCCAGTGTCTTCAAAGAAATTAGGAAGAAAGAGGAGAGAGGTGTTAGAGAACTTTTTCCTCCCACTAAATCATTTGGATGTGGGGCTCATAATAGAAGTATTTGTGTCTGTTTGGTAAAGAACACTGGACAAAATGGTTGTATACTTCTTCATGAACAAGGCAATAATACACTCTTGAGTTGGATAACTTTACAAAAACTTTGAACAATAGATTCTACCAGTATCCACTGTCCCAGGGTTGGGGAAGTTATTGCGGGTAAAGATGGAGAAAGGCAAGGAGGGGCTGCCCATATTTTGATGAGAGTGAGGCAAAATATGAAACAGATTTTGGGACAGGAATTAATTGTGTCAGACAATTATGTTTTCAATTTAGTTACAATTGCTTGCATCAAACTTTATTAGTGTAAATCCACGAGAATCCATGAATGCATTGATAATACGTTTGAGATTTTACTAAGTCTGCTTCTACAAGAAATTAATTAAACAGAAAACAGCTCGTAACAGTTTCTGGGTAAATAGAAACAAATTAGTGGAGCAGAATTCTTAGAAATTATGGACCCTGGAATCAGAGTTCCTGTTGGGTTCTGATCAAGTTACTAGGTACCGTGTTGCTTCAGTTTCATTTTCTCTAAACCGAAGACAACAATAGTAACCCATACCATAAAGTCACTTTGAACTGTGCAAGCTGACTCCATTTTGCTCTACCTGACTGTGTTTTGTGATTGATTGCATTTTTGCTTCACCCAACTGCTGCCCCCTCTGTCCTGATAACCACATCCAGCCAGGCAGAATGTTCTCATCCAGCTCCATCTGCAGTACCAGGAAGCCCATTGTTTCTGCAAGTCTGAGAAACTTGTTTAGTGTAACTGAAACTTGGAACTTCTTGTTTTTCTTGACTGAAACCTGAAATCTTTTTGCTATTTGACCTGCACTTGGTATGATGTAGTTGTAGTTTTTGGCTTTAGAAACCCCACTCTGCCTCTCTTTGGGGTCAAGAGCTCTTTCTGGCATGAGCCTGCTCTTGACTGTTGGCAGATAAAGGACTCTTAATTCAACCATCACTGTGTGGCATTCCTCTGTGACTCACATTAGATACAACAGTTTTTATTGTAGTATGATGGTCATGCAAGACCTAATATGAAACAAATTTATGATGAATATTGACTGTTACTATCATCATGTCATTTAAAAATATCAACAGAAACTTACCAGTATCTCTGTGTGCCTATGACAGACTATCTAGATTGTGTTCATTTCTAGGCATGCTTGTGGGGGATTACATAGATTAGGTTAATTGTCTGTTGTACCATGTGAGTGTGTAGCATGTGGAGGCCAGTAGAAGGTGTTGGTTACCTGAAACTAGGGCTACCTGTGACCTGCCTGATGTGGGTACTGGGAGCAGAACCTGGGTCCTCTGAAAGAGCAGCAAGTGACACATCTAAATTGGTTTCTTGTCATGTATTTTGTCACAGCAATGAAAAAAGTAACATGCTTTACTGCACTAAATTATCCCACATGTTAGATGAATAATTATAATTAATATAAGGTACATTAAAAGCTCAGAAATGAATCATCCTGCAGAATCCAGTAGCTTTAATGCTGTCTTAATAGGGGACCTTTTCCTATAATCCCCATGGGGACATGCCGGTTCCTCCTCCAACTATGCTGAGTCATGGACACTAACTTGAACGACATTGAACACTGGCACTGTTTGTGTTTTCATCTCTGAGTTTCATTCTGAAAGTTTGAAGGTAGGACGATTTGATTAGCTAACTTCAATAGACTTCTGTTTTCTTTCTTTCTTTCTTTCTTTTTTTTTTTTAAATTTTGGAGGTCAATTGCTTGGTTAATTCCTAACTAGATAGGCTCTAGCCACTGGCAGTCAGACTGGAGCATTCTGGCCACCCAGTTGTGGTGGTAGGTCCTTGGCTGAAGACCATGACTTAGACTGATGAAGTTCTCTGGCCTAGCAGCTCCCTCTTTTCAGCACATTACGACCATGATTCTTGTTCTTCATAGTCTACTTTCTGTCTCCAATACAAGACTAGCTGCATTTGTTGAGTGTATTTACTAGGGTGTGCCTTGGCATTTACAAATACAGAGATTAAGGAATTAAAAATGCCAAGGTAAAGGTGTGAAAGCTGCAACATGATGCATGAATATTTAGGAGCAAGGGGCTGGAGAGACTGCTCAGTCAGTAAAGTGCTTGCCTTTCAAGAATAAGGATCTGAGTTTGAACTAAAAAAAAGAAAGAAAAAAAAGACAGTCTAAAAAAAGGTTGCACACCAGTGCCAGATATGGGTTACCTCTCTTTGAGTTGTTGGTGGTTGGGGTCCTATATACCCTTCCCCAGACATTACAGACTCTTGCCATTGACCTTTGTTAATCCCCAGGACTTGATGAAAAGACACTATTGCTGAAGACACCATGCACATGAGCCACAGGACATGGAGAATCAAGCTGGTATTGACCTAGAAACTTCGAACTTACTAGCTAGCTTTCATAGTGTTGGAAGTTTCTCTGCTTGCTACCAGGTAGAGAAAAGTCATCAGTAGTCTCTCCCAGCTGTGAACGCAGAGAACTACAATAACGTCTGATCTGTCAAGATACACCCACTAGTGCAAAACTGGAACAAATGTTATGGGAGTAACCAATCACTTTCTGATTAGATTTAAAGCTAGTTACTCCACAAGACAGAACATGTTCCTGCTATCATTACCTGGACCCCCAAAGCCATGGCTGGCTAGGGCATAGACCCTAGGGGAGACCCTAGTACTGTTACTCTGCTAAATAGACATAATAAACTACCCCCTAAACTCTTATCTTTATACCCATAGATCTCAGTCCTCATGAAAGAAGCTTCATTTTTCAGAAGATAATGATTAACAGAGACCCACAACTGGTCAATGTGCAGAGAGGAAGAGACTATGAATCGCTCAGCTCTAAATGGGGCATCTATACCCCACCTCCTCCCACAAATCTCAGGGATCATTGTTCAAAGAGGGAGGAGGATTGCAAGAGCCAGAGGGAGTAAACCTCTGGAGCAAAACACTATTTGCTAGAGATGATAGAGCAGTTGCACACACGAATTCATGGTTGATGAGGTTGCTTGCACAAGACCTACCTATACAAGATCAAGCCAGTGAAAACTCCCAGCACAAGTGGGGAATAGGTTCATGAAGTCCCACACCTATCTGAGGAGTGATTGGCAATTGATCGCTCCTGGGAAAGTGAGAGTCAGTTTTCTCCAGGGCTGTGGTTCCCAAGGGGCTACCTATGCTCCAGTGGATAGCTCCACATCTATGTACGTACATGCAGCACTAAATAGACTCTGGGTATTATATTTAAAAAGGAAGCACATGAAGTTTGAAGGGAAAAGTGGTGGGAGGATAGGGGAGGAATTGAAGAGGAAGGAATGTGGGAATGGTTTTGATCAAAATGCACTATACACATGTATGAATATTAAACAAAATATATATTAAATGGCCCAAAAATGTCAGGCATAGTGACATGCACTTATAATCCTAGCACTGGGAGGTAGAGGCAGTAGGATCCCTGGGACTCACTGGTCAACCAGCCTACCGTCCTTGTTCAGTTCCAGACCAGTAAGAGACCCTGTCTCAAAAAAGAAATGAGGTAGACAGTGCCTGAGAAAGGTGTTGTATAGCAGTTTCCTCCAAGTTGAAACACACAGGTGAGAGCAGGGAGGCTCATTAGACTCCAGAGGTGAGCAAGTGTCACGTGTCTGTGAAAGATGAAACCCAGAGGAGACACGAGAGCCCCTCCCCAGAATTATAAAAGCAGCAAACAGCTGCTAGGAGAGGAGAGCCTGCCCAGCTGAGCTGCTCAGAGGAGATTCTCAGTTCTGGCCAGCCTACACATCATTCAGAGAGCTCCAGGGTAGCAGTTTTCCTGAGTCATCATCACCTGTGTTGGGGTGGGTTTTTTTCTGATGCAACTGCTTTGAGTCATCCCAACTCTTGTAAGAAACCCCTCACCCATGCATATTGGGGATAGTAACCCCAATAAAAAATCATTGGTTTACAAGTTGAACTTTGGGACAATGGTTACTTCCGTCTGTCCTGGCTACCCTATCTGGGTTGACTAGACGTGTGTGTGTGTGTGTGTGTGTGTGTGTGTGTGTGTGTTTGTATGTGTTGTGTCTCCCTAGGGAAAAATCTCAAACATAAGGGCACCCAAGGCTGCCCTTTGGCTTCCACAGGCACACACATGTGCACCTGCACACACAAATATAAACACACGCACACACACACACACACACACACACACACAAAGGAAAGTTCCCAGCTAAAATAATAGGCATTTAGTCTTTCACAAATTCCATTTCAGAAGCCCAAGCACAGAATGCTTTATGTGGTTTCTCTGCTGAATCACTAGAAGGTGGTGGCAGTCAGTGTCTAACGAGGGCTTGTTTCTCTGTTCATAAATCATGCCATCCTATATAGCTCTCTGTGATTTATTTTATGTGATCACTAATCCCATGCACAAGGCCCCTATCCTCATGATCTAACCACTTTCCAGAAGCTCCACCTCTTCAGACCATCTCTAGGAATTAGATCTCAAATACATGGATTTTAAGGGCATACACCTAGAATGTAATAGCAGCTTGCCAGTGATTCGACTAGATGGAGGTCTAAGGACAGAAGGGTCTTAGTATCTTCATGCTATGAAAAATCCTTAGGACAGCTTTATTTTTTGCAACTCTGGCTCATGTGTTGTAGAGTTTAAATAATTCACATTCATTTGCTTAGTTTCAAGGTTTAGAGGCAAAACCTAATTGGCTAAAATAAAGAAAGAAAGTATAAAATTTATAGTTTCAAATCTGTGTCTGGTACACATGTGTTAATTTAGCTCTCTTCTTGATGCCCTTAGATGTAGCTACAATTCATAGCAAAACACATGCACTTATCTGGACTTCTCCCTAAAAAGAAGCCCTCTCTTCAGGAAAAATTTTAAAAATATTTTATTTATTATTTTCATTTTATGTGTATGAATGTGTTGCCTGCATGTATGTAAGTGTACCCATGACATTCAGTGCCTGTACAGCTCAGAGGAGGGCATTGGATCCCCTAGAACTGGAGTTATGGATGGTTGTTAGCTGCCATGTGGGTGCTGGGAATTGAACCTCTGTCCTCTGCAAGAGCAGTCAGTGCTCTTAACTACTGAGCCATTTCTCCAGCCCCTTTGCCATGAAAGATTTTAGACCCCATATGGAAGATAACAAAATCTTCCACATCTTTCCTCGGCCCTCCACCTTATGTTATACAAGGTCCAGCTCAACTTTTATTTGATCAAGTATGTCTTTGACTGTCATAAATTACATATGACCCTGTTACAAGGTAGATTTTATAAATTTCAACAGCATCTTATACAAAAGAAAAGTGGTAACAAACATTTAACATTCCTGCTTTTTTTTTTTCCCTTCGGCTTTTTTGAGACAGGAACTCGCTATGTGTACCAGGCTGGCCTCTATTTAACAGATTTTTTTTCAATTTCAATTTATTTTGTATGTGAATAAAATCAGCAAATCTGCTATAAAATAAGTTATATATTAATTAAATTATCTGACACCAAGCAATGTAAAGCCAAGATTTAATGAGCATAAATATACCTTATTTTATATTTATTTGTGTATATGTGGTATATGCATATTGTTAGTGTGTGTGCGTGAATGTGTGACGTGTGTGACTGTGGAGGCCAGAGGCCAACTTTCACTGTCTTCCTGTATAGCTCTCCATCTGTTTTTTTTTCATTTGATCTTTTTGAGACAGGGTCTCCCTGTAGCCCCAGCTGGCCTGGAACTCGCTATGTACACCAGGCTGGCCTCGAACTCACAGAGACCCATTTACTTCTGCCTCTGAATGCTGGGATTACAGGTGTGTGCCATCATTCCTGACCATCTTGCTAACCTACATCTTATCAGTTTGGCAAAACTAGCTGTTTCCTGTATCCTCCACCCCCAGTACTGGGGTTCCAGGTACACATGGCCACAACCAGCATTTTAGTTTTACGTGGGTGCTGGGGATCTGAACTTAAGTCCTCACTCAGGCTTAAGCAGCAAACTCTCCACATATTGAGCTGTCTCCTCAGCCCCAAGATACTTTATTTTATGTAATTATTTTCTCAGATGGTGAAAGAAACAAATCCATAATTTTATGCAAATGTTAAAAACTTGCTTTAGCATTTCTTTTGAGTCTGAAGAGTCACACGATGTTTCAGGATAAATTCAGAACACCAGAGAAATAGATAATGACTTGTGCTTGCTTTGGGTCCTCAGTCTCAACTTCTGCCTCCAGCCAAACCTTGTCCCCCTTTCCCAGTGGCATGATTATAGCCCCAGAAATACTTTCATACTCTTTTCCGGAGAGCTGATGCTTTTCCAAGACTTGGATGTTGTTCCTCATCAGTCTAATCTTCATCTTGCATTGATGAAGCTCTACGTCAAAGCTGAAGAGGTAATTTCCGGGCAACTTGCAGATAAAGATGCCTGTCTTCTCTTTGAAGTCCCCCTGGTCATTGTGTGAGATTTCGGTGAAGATGACAGGTCCACAAGATGGAGGGAGACGTCCACTGAACTTGGCAGAGAAGGCTGACCTTTCTCCACAGGGACAATTACGAGTAGGCCCTTTTGGTCCTTGTGATCCTGGATGTCCTGGAAAACCATTAAAGCCAGGAGGTCCTAGGATGAACACAGAATGGCTATGAGGAGATGATGCCTGTATTCTTCCAGAAAGCATTTGTAGTGTTATGAGTTCACATGTTCAATTAGAGAGACACTGCTTTCTGAGATTTCCTATCTACACCCCAACATCTCCAGTTTTTACCTATGCTCTCAACATTTATAACACTATAATTCTCTGTAATTCTCACTATAACGCGAGATAGAAGGGCAAAACTCACTCCTCTTTCTTCCTCAACTCCCAACCCCCTGCCTTGAGGTTCCAGATTCTATGCCTACCCTTCTCTGGAGCAGAAGTTCCAAAGGCTACTATGCTGTACCTGGTTCAGTACTGATCACTCAAAACTTGTTTGTATAATGAGACCCTGTACAGAACTAGGAAACTCTGGCTTGCTGGTCACTAGCCATCTTCATAGCTTCCCACAAGGATTTTTCTTTTTATCTAAGTAAGTTATAGATCAATGAGAATGATACTAGTTTATACTAGCTTCCTTTAAGAATTAAGATATTGTTAGGGCTGGAAAGATGGCTCAGCAGTTAGGAGCATAGCTGCTCTTGCAGAAGACCCAGGTTTGATTCCTAGTAGCCACATGTGGCTAACAACCTTCTATAACTCCAGTTCCAGGGGATCTGATGCCCTCTTCTGACCTCTGCGGCATTGCATGACATGGGTCCAGTCACATACATGCAGGTAATACACTCATACACATAAAATAAAAATAATAAAAAAGTGTGAACTTTGGGCTTCTAAAAGACATAAGTCATCTTTCATCAATTGCTAACAGTATTTCCTTAGTCATTTTTCGACATTTACAAGGATCTGATTTCTCAACCACAAAGCAACCCATAATACTGCTCTCTCAATGACCTCTCTCTGAAATATTTGTTGAATTTCATGTTAGCTGTTGGGATGATCACCGTTACCTCTAAATTTGGAACTCTGTCCTTTGTTCCCTGGAGAAGTTTAGGAAAAGGTAGCCATGGCCTCACTGAGGTTTTACTCCCTGCCTTACTTTTGTGAGTCTGTCATTTGACAATTCTAGACTTAAATTCAAGGGTGCCGGGTCTTTCTATCTGAGGACAGGAGAACCATTGGAACAGCCTCAGCCCATTTGATCCAGAATAGGGGCACAGGAAGATTCCGTGCTGATAATGCCTCTGTAAGGAACTTTTCAAGATGAATGAACCTCTAAGAGACCCTTTTGGAAGTCTCAGGTAGGTATAGGCAGCAACACATGTAACCTCTTCACTTCATACAGTTCTCATGCATCAGCCATTATCACGTTCACATGGATAGCTTATCAAATGCCATGTATTTTCCCCCAGAGTTTTTCAAAGAGCATAACTGAGGTAAAGATCAAAACTTGACTTTATAAGAATTTCTCAGGTCTGGATCATGACCCGAAGAAGCTTTGTTTTGCCTTCTCCACTGGGAGACTGCCTGGTAATGGAAGCCGCACACTAGGAACCTTGTGCAGCCAGTGAGAAGGCCCTAGGTTGGAGCTATAACACTAGCACCTCAGAACTGACTGGGAATCAGCTTCTTCACAATATGGCTCGGTCTCTATGCATTCAAAACATGCTAGTCAGGCTTCACTAGCCCTTTCTTCCTAGCTGGAAAGAATGTTTTAATTCATTATTTCATCTCTGCTACTGTAGGTCTTCTTGGCATCTCTTCCACCTTGCCTTACCCTTGACTCACCATCTCCTGCTGCTGCCTTAGATAACTAGGCCAGAGTCCATAGTCCTCCTCACATCTGTGATTGGGACCAGAGAACCCTGACAAAGAAGCCCTGTACAGAGGTCATTTCAAATCTAAATGTCCTTCCCTAGATTCTTTCTGTTTTTATTTGGCACTAATCTAATGAAGATTATGACAGCCACCCACAGGCAAAAGAGGAAGGGAAATCAAGAGACAGGAGAAGGAAGATTTCTCACCCGAAGGACCTTGGGGTCCAGGATACCCTTGGGGTCCAGGAAGTCCAGGAGGCCCTGGAGGTCCACAGCAGCCGACTTCATCATTGAGAACATTGGCCATGAGAACTGAGATGGCCAATCTCCACACATCTTGAACAACAACAAAAGAGGATTTATTTGCAGTTTGTGCAGTTAAAATTAAAGCTTGGCCTACTCAGATTACTTTGGCTCTGGAACTCAGGTATAATTAGTTGGGTTTAAATTACATCTGTCTGAGGCTGAGAGATGGCTCAGCAGTTAAGAACACTCACTGTTCTTGCAGAAGACTGGGGTTCCAATCCCAGCACCCACATGGCAGCTAACAACTGTCCGTAGCTCCAGTTCCAGGGGATCTGACAGCCTCTTCTGTCCTCCATGGGCATTGCACAACATGGGTGCAATAACACTCACACACATAAAATAAAAATAATAAATGAAATATTTGAAAAAAAATAACAGAATCCTTCTTTAAAAATTGCATGTCTCAGTTATCAACTAACTGAATGTTCTACACTCTCCATTTCAGTCAGCTTCTTTATAAGTGCTGTGTCACATCACACTGGTTCACCATATTGATTTGCGAATGTGAATATACTAAAAATTGTTAATCTCCGCTTCTATCTCTGTACCAACTACATATAAAGTACTTCATAAATGATGTTGAGGTATAAACCACATTGTTACTAATACATGCTACTAATTATTTCTACTATACATAGCATAAAATTAGCTCTTGGGCTATAGTTGTAAAGGAAGCTGAGATTATGAACGCTGTAATGTACAACTCTAATCTGGGGGAGGCGGGATAGAAAGAAAAAAGGGTAGGAATTGATCCCTAGTGTGATTTTGATATCATTACTCCAATGAAACTTCAATGACTGTTTATACATAGCCCTGTCCTGTCACAGCTTAAAGTGCTCAGCCTTGGGGACTTTAACGTCTTGTTTGTTTTGACATTTTACAAATAAGTCTCATATTTAAACAGAGAACAAAACCAACCTGAACTGTCATTAACTTGCATAATTTTCTTATCCCCCAGAACAGAATTTCTCCCCAAATAATATATGACTGCACCAAGGTTATCAGTTGGGGTTTCAGGCCCTTTTCTTTTTGTCTTTTTGAGACAGGGTCTCCTTGTAGCCCCAGCTGTCCCGGAACTCACTATGTAGACCAGGCTGGCCTTGAACTCACAAAGATCCACCTGCCTCTGCCTCCCAAGTGCTGGGATTAAAGGCGGGGACCACCATACCCGGCCAGGCCCTTTTTAAGACTATTCTAAATCCACCCTCTTCTGGGAACTAGGCAATTGTATCAGGTCCCTACCAGTCATTCTCAGATAGAAAGGCTTGGTTCTTCTTGGGGGTGGCTTCCTCCAAATGTGAAGGCTCCAATGTTGCTTAGCTTAGGAACTTGCAGCTTGGGCACTTGTCAGGGCTTCCTGGTAGCAAGAGCTTCTGAAGTGATATGCAGTCCATCTCTTCAGTGTTTAAATGTTTTCATGCTGTCTGAAGTGGGACAGCAGCAAGATTAATATTCAACCTCAAGCAGGGCTTGAGTCCTCTACCCAGACTGGCTCCAGACTTTGGACTAGTAAGATTATGGTGTAATACGGAGCAAGAAATGACATGCAGTTTTGTGTAGAATCAAGACTCCTTTGCTAGCCGGCGTTCAGAGAGGGGGCTCATGCCCCAAAGGACTCAACCCTGAGGGGAAGCAGAGTAGGGTTTATATAGCTTAAAACCACAGTTACATCATGCCAGGGTCAAAGACAATAACCATAGTTACACCAGACCAGGGACAGGTCAGTTAAAAAAGAGGTTTTCGGTTAACAAAACAATTCATAGGATAAACAAGTTTCTTAGTATTGCAGAAACAACGGGCTCCATGGTGATACAGGTATAGGTTGGAGGGAGGATGTGATACCTGGATGTACTATCTGGCTAGTTGGACGCTTCCCAGTATTGTAGAAACAATGTACCCCCTTGAAACTACAAGTGTGACCTTCACGGCTGGTGACTCTGCCTGGCTGACTGCAGTTAGATAGAGCAGGGGAAGCCGGGCTAAACAGCAGCGAGTGAAGCACAAGTCAGCTAAAACAAAATGAAGTCAGCTTTGCCGTTTAAGTAGCATCTTGCCAACCCTAGACCTTCTATCAGGAATAAATGCGATGACTTTGCTGCTGCTGCTGCTGTTGCTGCTGCTGCTAAAACAAAATGTCAAAGGCTGTGTGATTGCAGTTAGAAAGGAAGAATTGGTTCAAGAGATGTATGGCACAGCATGATTGATCATAATATATTGTATTATTGGAAAATGCATTGTAAATAGAAATGCCCTCACCATAACCATGTGAGGCACACATTTGAATTCTTGTTGTTTTGCTTTGATTTTGTTTGTTTGATTTTTTTTTGCCACTCAGGGAATGGAACCTAAGGTTTTATGCATAGTAGGAAAGTACTTTCCTGTTCGGCTACATCCCCACCCTCAATGCATTCATTAATTAGCTGGATCTAAGCATTATATTTTAAAATGTGTTGTGCATGAAAAAAATACGTTATTTGTCATTTAAAAACATTTATACATGTTCTCATAGGTTTCTATTGCCAAGATAAAATGATGACCAAAAGCAACTTGAGGAGGAAAGAGTCTATTTCATTTTACTCTTTCAAGTGAGAGACAGTCCATCACCAAAAGGAAGTCAAGGCAGGAATCTGGAGGCAGGAACTGAAGCAGAGACCATAGAAGAACACCGTTCACTGGCCTGCTTCCTCTGGTTTGCTCAGCTACCTTTCTTATATAGGCTTACCTTTCCAGATTAGTATGGGCCCTCAAACACCACTGAGAAATTAGGAAAATGCCCCACAGACAGTCTGGTGGAGGCAATTCCTCATTTGAGGGCCTTGCTTCCCAGGTGTCTCTAGCATGAATCAAGTTCACAAAAACTAACCAGCACAGCACACGTTAAAAACAAAACAAAACAAAAACATGCCTTTTTAAATTCTATTTTCTGAAGACTTACTTGCTAGAGCATATCTCAGATTAGGATTGTTAAGGTTTAGATGGCCCTACCCCCTCACCAACAGGATCCCAAGGACTTCTCATGCTCCTGAGAAAAGGGAACCTAGCTGATAAGCACCTTGGTCTTTGAAGTCAAGAGAAGTAGACTTTTCTCCACTGTTTGGCCAACACAGCAGGCTTCCCCTTTGATCTTTAAA